TTCATTCCAAGATTAAGGGTTATCGTATTTGAGATGCGGAAATGTCATCTTAGAAGGAAGGAAGGAAGGAAGGAAGGAGGGAGGGGAAGAGATGGAAGTGAGAAAAAGAGGGAGGGAAGGAAGGAAAGAAGGAAGGAAGGAAGGAAGGAAAAGGGAGGGAGGGGAGAAAAGGAAGGGAGAGAAGAAGGAAGGAGATGAAAGTGAGAAAAGGAGGGAGGGAGGGAAGGAATGAAAAAGGGAGGAAGGGGAAGAAAGGAAGAAAAAAGATGGGAGGGGGAAGGAAGGAGATGAAAGTGAGAAAAGGAAGGGAGGGAGGAAGGAGATAGAAGTGAGAAAAGGAGCGAGGGAAGGAAGAGAGGAAGAAAAGAAGGAAGGAAATGAGAGGAAGGGGAAGAAAGATGGGAGGGAGAGATGGAAGGAGATGGAAGAGAGAGAAGGAAGGAAGGATAAGGGAAAGTGGAGAGGGGAGGGGAGGAGCTACAGGCAGTCCTCAACTTACAACCGTGCATTTAGTGACCTTTCCAAATTACAACAGGGAGGAAGGATGAAGTAGAGAGCAAGTAAACAGTACTTCTACCTATAGGGAGACTCTTAAGGAATTGTTCCTGCAAGGAAATTTATTAAAAAAAATAAATAAATATGGCTGATCTATATCTTCTCTCCTGCTCCCAGAATCCCCGGCTTCCGAGGGGATTCTGGGAGTTGAAGTCCACGTGTCTAAAAGGAGCCAAGGTTGAGAAACCTCATTTTAAGGGGCGGGCAGAAAGAATCGGACTGCATCCCCTTTAAACACGGGCACTAGTTACTGGTTCAAAAACGTCTAAATGAAAGGATGGTTGCAACAATAGACAAGGGGGAGGGACTGAGATACCCCATTGGAAGGGTCTGCATATTTGGGCAGGGGCCTGACTGCTAAACCATGATTAAGCCAGAGATAGGAGCAAGGTGTGGGCTAGGAAAAGATTTAAAGGCTGGGGGAAAAAAACGGTGCCACACACAGCTCCGGGCGAGTGAAGATTTATGCTCTGTCATTTGCATCCTTTGCAAATTGGTTTTTTTTTTGTGTGTGTGTGTGTGTGTGTGTGTGAAGGGCTGGTGCCCCAGGCCCGTAAATTATGGTTTGTCTCCATCCTCCTTTGTCACACCCCCTGCTTGCCCATGTGACCCCCTGTGGGGAGGACGTGTGCCTGCTTGAGATGGCTGTTTAAAGGGCCTTTAAATCAAGAGGGGATGCATCCCACGGAGACACGGGTTTGGCCTCCGGCCCAAGGCAGCTTCCGTTTTTCCGCTTTGTTTGCTCCCAGGCTGAAGAACTGCAGACAAGTCCCCCCCCCCCCTGCCACCGGCTTGCAATGGAGCGGCCTCATTATTCTTATTTATTTGGTTTTGATCCTGCCTTTATGATTTGTCTGAAACGGTGTAGGGCTTCCAGCTTGAGCAGGGGGTTAGACTAGATGACCTCCAAGGTCCCTTCCAACTTTTATTATTATTAATTGTTATTGTTATTATTATTATCATCATCATCCAAAGCTCCTGAAGGCAGAACAAGAAGCAATGGATGGAAACTAACCAAGGAGAGAAGCAACCTAGAACTAAGGAGAAACTTCCTGACAGTGAGAACAATTCACCAGTGGAACAACCTGCCTCCAGAAGCGGTGAATGCTCCAACACTGGAAGTTTTTAAGAAGAGACTGGACAGCCATTTGTCCAAAATGGTATAGGGTTTCCTGCCTGAGCAGGGGGTTGGACTAGATGACCTCCAAGGTCCCTTCCAATTTTATTATTATTATTAAGCCGGGACTAGAACTCACCATCTCCTGTTCATTTGCTCAAAGTCTCCCAGCTGGCTTTCAGGCCTAAGGCAGGACTAGAATTCACCGTCTCTTGGCCATTGTCTCAAAGTATCCCAGCTGGCTTTTACACCTAAGGCGGGACTAGAACTCACAGCGGACACGCTGTATGAATGTATTTATTTTATTGTTTTATTGTCATATTATTGTTTTAATTTTGTACGCTGCCCTGAGTCCCTTGGGATTGGGCGGCATATAAATTTTAGAAATAAATAAATAAATAAACTCACCGTCTCCTGGTAATTGGCCCCCAGTCTCCCAGCTGGCTTTCAGGCTTAAGGTAGGACTAGAACTCACAGTCTCCTGGCGATTGACACAACATCTCCCAGCCAGTTTCATGCCTAAGGTGGGACTAAAACTCACCGTCTCCTGGTGATTGTTTCTAAAATCTCACAGATGGCTTTCAAGGCGGGACTAGAACTCACCGTCTCCTAGTGGTTGACTGAAAGTCAACCAGCTGGCTTTCATGCCTAAGGCGGGACTAGAAATCACAGTCTCCTGGTGATTGGCCTAAAATCTCACAGACGGCTTTCAAGGCGGGACTAGAACTCACTGTCTCCTAGTGGTTGGCTGAAAGTCAACCAGCTGGCTTTCATGCCTAAGGCGGGACTAGAAATCACCGTCTCCTGGTGATTGGCCTAAAATCTCACAGACGGCTTTCAAGGCGGGACTAGAACTCACCGTCTCCTAGTGGTTGGCTGAAAGTCAACCAGCTGGCTTTCATGCCTAAGGCGGGACTAGAAATCACAGTCTCCTGGTTTCTAAGCTGGCACCTTCACCCCTACAACCACACAGGGTCCTTGCACACTTGCCCCCCCCTCTCCTACCCCAGTCAGGGGCAGGCAACCAGACAGGATTTGCTCCAAAATATGCAATTTTTTCCCCCTTCAGCTGAGTTGCTGCGTTCGAGAGTCTGGGATTGCAGATCCCTTCCTCCCCTGTTCTCCGGAATGAGCGCCTGAATCTTAACGTAACACACGGAGGACATTTTTTGAAATCTCTGACTAGAGACTAATTGTATTAATCATATGTACTTTTAAATACCTCTAAATGTTGCAGCCCTTATAGATTTTGGCTCTCCGGATGAAGCTTAAGCTTTCATATTTAAAAGCTGCCCGGGGAGCCCAATTGTGCGAAATAAATCATTTTAAACAATCGTTAACATTGAAAAGTTTGGATGGGCTTAGAAAAACAGATAACTTAGACGTGACAGGAAAAATGCATCTCCCGGTATGTGTCTTTGAAAATTAGCCGTGCATAAGAAACTGTCACTCCATCCATCCATCCATCTCTCTCACTTCTTTCTTCTATCTGTCTGTCTATCATCTGTCTGTCTATCTATCTATCTATCTATCTATCTATCTATCTATCTATCTATCTATCTATCTATCTATCTACCTACCTACCTACCTACCTACCTACCTATCATTCTATCTATCCCTCTCTCTCTCTAATCTATCATCTATCTAATCTATCTATCTTATCTATCTATCAACTATCTATCTATCTATCTATCTATCTATCTATCTATCTATCTATCATCTCTCTATCTCCCTATCATCTCTCTCTCTCTATCTATCTATTATCTTTCTTTCTCTATCTTCCATCTGTCCATCCATCCATCCATCCATCCATCCATCCATCCATCATCTTTCTTTCTCTATCTTCCATCTGTCCATCCATCCATCCATCCATCCATCCATCCATCCATCCATCCATCCATCCATCCCTCTCTCTCTCTCTCTATCTATCTATCATCTATTTATCTATCATTTCTCTCTAATCTATATCTATCATCTACCCTATCTATCTATCTATCTATCTATCTATCTATCTATCATCTATCTATCCATTATCTTTCTTTATCTTCCATCTGTCCGTCCATCCATCCATCCATCCATCCATCCATCATCTTTCTTTCTCTATCTTCCATCTGTCCATCCATCCATCCATCCATCCCTCTCTCTCTCTCTCTCTCTCTCTATCTATCATCTATTTATCTATCATTTCTCTCTAATCTATATCTATCTATCATCTACCCTATCTATCTATCTATCTATCTATCTATCTATCTATCTATCTATCTATCATCTATCTACCCATTATCTTTCTTTATCTTCCATCTGTCCGTCCATCCATCCATCCATCTATCTATCTATCTATCTATCTATCTATCTATCTATCTATCTATCTATCTATCTATCTATCATCTTTCTTTCTCTACCATCCATCCATCCATCCATCTATCTAATCTATCATCTATCTATCTATCTATCTATCTATCTATCTATCTATCTATCTATCATCTGTCTATTATCTCTCTCTCTTATGACTTATGACACTTTTTCACACTTACAACCATTGGAGCATCCCCAGGGTCACGTGAACAAAGTTCAGACGATCGGCAACTGGTTCATACTTATGAGGGTTGCAGCGTCCCGGTGTTCTATGATCCCCTTTTGCGACCTTCGGACAAGCAAAGCCCCTGGAGGGAGCCAGATTCACTTAACAGCCATCTTACTACCTTGACAACAGCAGGGATTCACGTGACGACGGTGGCAAGAAAGGTTTTAAAATGGGGCCGAACTCACTGAACGGCTGTCTCGCTTAGCAACAGAAAGCTTGGGCTCAGTTGTGGTCCTAAGTCGAGGACTACCTTATACAATGTGGGCCACAACAGCCTTCCCCATCTCCCTGCAAACGACTAACCAGCCATAGATTTCCTAAGCCTGCATTTTGGGGCAACCACCAGAAAGACAGAACGACAGGACAGAATACCAGAATAACAAGAGCCGGAAGGGACCTTGGATGTCATCTACTCCAACCCCTTGCTGCTCAGGCAGGAAACCCTGTACCATCTCAGACAAATGGCTGTCCAGTTTCTTCTTAAAGACGTCCAGTGTTGGAGCATTCACAATTTCTGGAGGCAAGGAGTTCCACTGGCTAATTGTTCTAACTGTTCAGGAAGTTTCTCCTTCGTTCTAGGTTGCTTCTCTCCTTGATGAGTTTCCATCCGTTGCTTCTTGTCCTGCCTTCCGGTGCTCTGGCAGATAGCTTGACTGCCTCTTCTTTGGGGCAGCCCCTGAGACACTGGAACACCGACCCCCGTCCCCTTTCCCTGGCTCAATTCTCACCTGCAATCAGAATTACCTTTCTGAGCTCACCGGGAGCGGCAGATCCAGCTTGGGCACCAGAGAAAGGATTCCTCTTAGGGTCAACTGGCCATCAACTCTTGATCTGTCTAATATCCATCCACGGAGCAATTGGGGCGCCTGGCCAAGGGTCAGGCTTATTCGCCAGGCGCTGACCCGCTCGCTCCCACCCCGAGGCCACAGCGAACTCCGTTCGGCCTTCCCTCCTCTGCCAAATTCCTCGGACAAATCTCGTTCTTTGTCCAACAGTCTCCGGATCTTCTTTTTCTGTTTTTTTTTTTTTCGGGCAAAAAAACCCAAATCCACTTCGTCCTCTCTGTGCCACCTGATCTCGCCGAGCCTCTTAAATCGTCCTTTGCTCGCCGTTCTCCCTCCTTCTCCCTCTCTCTCCAGCTCTGCTTTCTTCCCAGCAAGGCGGCAGTCCTCTTCTCAAGCTCCCGGCTCGGATTACCACCGTCTCTCCTTCTCGTTCCGCAGCCGTGCCGGATGCATTTTTCCACCCGGGAGTCCCAGTGCTTCACAGGACACCCACTTGGGGGGGGGGGAGGCCAGGCTCTCAGTTGGCAGGATGAGGTTACCGTTTCCAATACCGTCCCCGACCAATACCGTCCTCGGCTTGGGTGAGAGGGCAGAAAAAGAGCTCCTTGTTTCAACAGCCGTCAAGGTGTCTCTCTTTCAACACACCTTGTGGCTCTAGATTTACTTGGGGGACGTCAACCCCGCAGCCGTAGTACGCAGAACGTAGAATAGTTGAAAGGGACGTTTGTCTGGAATGGCACTGGGTTGCCTGCCTGAGCAGGGGGTTGGACTAGAACAGGGCTTTTCAACCTTTTCACCCATTGTACCACTTTGAGGATACGGCAACATCTGAGGACCACCCGTCACCTGGCAAGGTGTCAAAAATTTGATGACCCCCCAAAAAAGGAAAAAAGTGATAAAGTACAGGTAGTCCTCGACTTAAAACAGTTTGCTTAGTGACTGTTCGAAGTTACAATGGCACTGAAAAAAGTAGCCCCCAAGCCACAGCCGAGCAAGACACCTGCCTGCCCACCAGGCGGCGCTCTTCCTCCTGTCCGAGGTTTTCATTGTTGTGAGCATTTCTGTTGAGGATTGGCAGCGGGGGTGGGGGGGGTTGGTTTTTATTCCCCCCGTCTGCTGGGTGGTTGCAGCAGGTTTTGGTCACTTCACATGAGCCTGGGACACTGTGACCGTCATTAATATGAATCAGTTGCCAAGCCTCTGAATGTAAATCACAAGACCCTGGAGAGACTGCAACATTCCAGCTGATCGGGGCTTCTTCTGGGCTCAGCAGAAGCACCAGGGTCAGTGCTGCTTTCCAGCTGATCGGTGCTTCTTCAGGGCTCAGCAGAAGCACCGGGATCAGCGCCGAGCTCCAGCTGGAGCCTGGCGCTGATCCTGGCACTTCCACTGAGCCCTGACAGCCCTGAAGAAGTGCCGATCAGGTGGAAAGCGGTACTGATCCTGTTGCTTCCGCTGAGCCCCGACAGCCCTGCAGCTCCAGCCGTCTCTCGTTCAAACTTGTGCGGTGCTGCCACCGGTTCAGCTCATTCCCCTCCCCCGCTACCACTTTTCTAGGATGGTCACGTACCACCTGCCAGGTGCCAATGTACCACAGGTGGTACCCGTACCACCGGTTGAAAAGCCCTGGACTAGATGACCTCCGAGGGGCTTTCCAAACGATTTGCAGTGAATGCTTGAGAGATTGTACCATGCAACGAAGAGGATTGATCTGAACCTTTTAACCTACCGAAGGCTAAGCCGGGAGGGAAAACGGAGTGAAGAATGGCAGATTTTTTTGTAAATGTGCGTGTGGGGGGGAAACCCAGATGGCCTGGATGAATTTATGGATGACGTTCCCCAAAGACGGGAGAGGGAGGGAAGAATTTTTAAGATATGCAAGGGGGCAGAGAGAGAAGGGAGTGAGTGGGTGGAAGGTAATTTGTTGCCAGAAGTTTACGCTGAAAGAATCTGACATTGTTGTGCTGCAAAAGGTAGGTCGGGAAAAACACGGGAGGGAGCGGAACGCCGTCGAAATTGGGAGTTTAAGAAGTGCCCCTGGAGGCTGAAACGAGGAGGATTACGGGATCAGAAACGAATCAAAGGGGATCGAATGCAGAGGCAACTCTATAAAAGGACCTCAAAATGCTTTCCTCGTAGACCCAACTGGGAGCAGAACCTCTGGCGCAAAAGACGGGGGATGTCCTGTGAGTCCCGACCCATTTTACCGCCTCTTGGATTATGGGATGCTGTGATGGTCGTGAGTATGAGGACCTGTCACAAGTCGGGGGGGGGGTTTACGGGTGTTGTGACTTTGAGCAATCGTTCAAGGAACGGTGTGTTAAGCTGAGGAATCCCTGCAGGGGGTACTTGACGAGGACTGACGGCTGTTCGTTTAGTGACGGTTCAAAATTACAACAGCATTGAAAAAAGGGACTTTTTATGACCTTTTCTCCCCCTTCTCCCACCTTTGCTGAGCACTGGGTTCGGATTATACAGGAGGAGGAAGAGAGGAAGGAGGAGAAAAAGGAGGAGGGAGAAGAGGAAGCAGGAGAGGAAGAAGGAGGGGAAGGGAGAAGGACAAGGGGGAGGAGAAAGAGGAGAAAGAGAAGGAAAGAGGAGAAAGAGAAGAAAGAGGAGGAGAACAAGGAGGAGGAGAGAGGAGGAGGAGAGAGGAGGAGGAGAGAGGAAGGGAAAGGGGGAGAAAGAGGAGGAAAAAGAAACCAAAGAAGGGGAGGAGGGGAAAGGAGAAGAAGGAGGAGGAGGAGGAGGAGAAAAAGAAGGAGGGGGAAGAGGAAGCAGGAGGAAGAAGAAGGGGAGGAGGAGAATGAGAAAGAGAAGGAGAAAGAAGGAAGGAGGAGGGAAAGAGGAGGATAACAAGGAGGAGAGAGGAGGAGGAGAAGGAGGAAGGGAAAGGAGAAGAAAGAGGAGAAGGAAAGGGGAAAGACAAAGAAGAGGAGGAGGGGAAAGGAGAAGGAGGAGGAGGGAAAGGGGGAGAAGGACAAGGGAGAGGAGAAAGAGAAGGAAGGAGGAGAAAGAGGAGGAGAACAAGGAGGAGGAGAGAGGAGGAGGAGGAGGAGGAGGAGAGAGGAAGAGAAAGTGGGAGAAAGAGGAGAAGGAAAAGGGAAAGACAAAGAACAGGAGGAGGGGAAAGAAGAAGGAAGAGGAGGAGGAGGAGGAGAAAAAGAAGGAGGAGGGGAAGAGGAAGCAGGAGGAAGAAGGAGGGGAGGAGGAGAAGGAGAAAGAGAAGGAAGGAGGAGGGAAAAGAGGAGAAAGAGGAGGATAACGAGGAGAGGAGGAAGGGAAAGGAGAAGGAGGAGGAGTAGGAGGAGGAGAAAAAGAAGGAGGAGGGGAAGAGGAAGCAGGAGGGGAGGAGGAGAAGGAGAAAGAGGAAGGAGGAGGGAAAAGAGGAGAAAGAGGAGGATAACGAGGAGGAGAGAGGAGGAAGGGAAAGGAGAAGAAGGAGGAGGAGGGAAAGAGGAGGATAACGAGGAGGAGAGAGGAGGAAGGGAAAGGAGAAGGAGGAGGAGGAAGAGAGGGAGGAGGAGAGGAAGGAGGAGGAAAGAGAAGGACCAGGAGGAGGAGGAGGAGGAGGAGGAGAAAAAGGAGGAGGAGGGAGAAGAGGAAGCAGGAGAGGAAGAAGGAGGGGAGGGGAGAAGGACAAGGGGGAGGAGGTGAAGGAGAAAGAGGAGGAGAAAGAGGAGAAATAGGAGGATAACAAGGAGGAGGAGAGAGGTGAAGGAGAAGGAGGAAGGGAAAGGAGAAGGAGAAGGGGGAGAAAGAGGAGAAGGGAAAGACAAACAACAGGAGGAGGGGAAAGGAGAAGGAGGAGGAGGAGGAGGGAAAGGGGGAGAAGGAAAAGGAGAAGGAGAAAGAGAAGGAAAAGAAGAAAGACAAAGAAGACGACGAGGAGGAGGAGGAATAGAAAGAGGAGGAGAATGAGGAGGGTTAAGGAGAAGAACGAGAAGGAGGAGGAGGAGGAGGGAAAGAGGGGGAGAAGGAAAAGGAGAAAGGCAAAGAAGAAGAGGAGGAGGAGAAAGAGAAGAAGAAAGAGGAGGAGGAGGAAGGGGAAAGGAAAAGAAGAAAGACAAAGAAGGAGGAGGAGGAATAGAAAGAGGAGGAGAATGAAGAGGGGTAAGGAGAAGAACGAGAAGGAGGAGGCGGAGGAGGGAAAGAGGGGGAGAAGGAAAAGGAGAAAAACAAAGAAGAAGAAGAGGAGGAGGAGGAGGAGGAGAACGAGGAGGAGGGAAAGAGAGGGAGAAGGAGAAGAAGAAGGAGAAAGACGAGGACAAAGAGGAGAAGAGGAGGGGAAGCATCCTCTCTCCATTTCCAGCTTTTGGCAAAGCCCGCAAACAAACAAACAAACAAACAAACAAAAAAAAGCAGATTGGCGCAAGGGAAGAATCGACGCCAAAGACTCGGCTGTCCTGTTCCATTAAAGGGGGAAAAAAAAGAGAAATAAATGGAGGGTTGGGTCCTCCAGTGCGAAGAAGAGCAACGATTTCCCCTTGGATGGGGGGGGGGGAGACAGATTGATTGCCTTCTAATTAAACGTCTTTAAGCGGCCTGCTCAATAGGCCATTTGTAACCACAGCCTAAAATAGATAGGAATTGCATTTTTTTTCCCCCCATCCCCTTCCTCTTTTATCATTCAATAAACGAGTAAAAGCTTTGCTTTTTCAGCAGGCTTTGGGGACTATTGAGAATTAATTGCTTGTGGTTTGGTCCGCTTCCTTTTTTCCTTTCTTTCTTTCTTTTTAAATGTCTGCAAAGGGGACAAAAACAACAACAACAACGACCTCGTAGATCCATGCTCGTTTTCCTGGGAGTAAATTCCCCTTCAATTCGATGGGAATTTTAGAGTAAGACAATTCCACAGGGAGTCCTCGCCTTACGACTCCAATCCAGCCCGTGGCTAAGCGAGAGAGCAGCGAATTTTGCCCCGTTTTACGACCTCTCCTGCCACGGTGGTTAAGCGAATCGCGGGCAGTTGTTCGCTTAGTAACCCGGTCGTTAAATGGATCTGGCTGTTCCCCCGTTGACTTGGCAGGTCACGAGGTTGCAAAAGGGGATGAGGTGATCTTGGGACACGGCGACAGTCGTAAAGAGGAACCCTCTGAATTTTGAGCACACGATCCTGGGGAGGCTACGACGGTCATTAAGTGTGAAAAATAATCATGTCACTTTTCTTCCAGGACCGTTGTAACTTTGAACGGTCACTAAACGAACGGTTGCAAGTTGAGGACTACCATTTCAGATAAATATGGTCGGATCCTGACCCAACAGACCGCCAACATTGCAAGAGCCGAGGTGGCGCAGCAGTTAGAGTGCAGTACTGCAGGCCACTTTAGCTGACTGTGTTCAGCAGGTCAGCGGTTCAAATCTCAGCGGCTCAAGGTTGACTCAGCCTTCCATCCTTCTGGGGTAGGTAAAATGAGGACCCAGATTGTTGGGGGCAATGTAAAATATATATACATTGCTTACTGGTGTACACCGCTTAGAGAGTGCTTGCACTTAAAGCGGTATATAAATCTCATAAATAAATAATAAATAAATAAATAAATAAATAAGCATTCCTTGTATATCCTTAAATACACAAAGCAACAAAGGGGAAGTCGCACACCCCTGTCTTAAACTCCAGGCTGGCTGTTAAGACTATTTATTAAATATGTGATTGATTTTCAAACATAATAATAACAATAATAACAATAATGACAACAACAACAACAACAATAATAATAATAGACAAGCACCTGCAGCATAACACTCTGGACTTAACAATTGTCGATAAGAAAGACAAAAATGTCTGGATAGTGGATGTGGCAGTGCCTGGAGACAGCAGAATAGACGAGAAAGAACTGGAGAAGATCACAAAATATAAAGACCTACAAATAGAAAGACTGTGGCAAAAGCAAGACAGGGTAGTACCAATAGTCATAGGCTCCTTGGGTGCAATCCCAAAAC